TGGCGGTGTGATTCACGAGGTGCGGGTAAGATAGCGGACGGGGGTGGGCACGATATTTAGGTCACGATAACTGCCACACGGATGCCAGACCCCCACGGCCTGGTACGGAAGCATGTGAAAAGCGATCCAAATGGGGTGCTACATGGTCTGACGATACTGAGCCGAGGCATGTAATCGAATTCAGATATTTCGGCGCTTAATTTCTCGGAGGGGTGTCACATTGCTCGATCACTCGCTGATGGACCGCTTTTGCTGACATGGTGATCGATTTCTTTCTTGACTGATAGGGGGTTCTGCGGCTGGTCGTACCAAACGCCTGTTTTCAAAAAGTGGGCTCGCATAATTTGAAGGTACCTCGGCGATTTGAAAACCGGGACTGATTTCTGTTGTGTCCGTAAGAACGCCCTGAGCCCCTAGCTTAGTATGGTCGTCTAAAAGTATTTGGTGGCCAGCAGCAAAACTTCGGAGGAATTCGCTACCAAAAATGGCAAAGGGTACAGCAACAACCATTAAAACACACTAAAAGTGGCGGTGCTTGGGGTACAGGTTTGTCGTGCGCTTACCGAATGAAGCTATAGGAGAGCCGGTGGCCGTACGCAAATTGTACCCAAAATTTGATTGCTGGTCATTCGCGTCGGCAGTGATGCCGCTGACTTCCGGTCCCGTGCCGGTGTGAAACGTGATAGAATAACGTCACCACATAGCGTAAAACATGCGCTTTGTTTGAATGTTGTTGAATTTGTTGGTAGCACTAGTATGCGGACTATTCGCTGCCCTGAAGTAGCTGCGTCGTGCCCAATGCAGGGAGCCCGACGATCTCTAGCATTTCCGTCGTACTGACAATGATACGTGTCAGCGAATACTTTGCTTATGGTGCTCGAGTGAAGCGTAAATAATCCCGGGTCCAACCAAGCAAAGAACCTGAGACATTACCTACGGTACTAGTCAAAAAGTAACTAAAATACTACAGGAAAATACATCAAATAGGCCCGATCAGTTTCCAAACAACCGGCCTTCACCTGGTCCAAGAAGAATGCAAATGATGTCTGCCAACGTAACTATAGAGTCAAACGATACCCAATCCATGATGGGACTATGACGGATCTTTTATTAGGTCTGTTAACATTTGATTCATTATTTTGCTCTGCAGTGTGTAAAACGGAACGCGATAGTCGGGGCTCTTGGGGTGGCTTGGCTCAGCAATAGGGTGGGGAGGGGGAAACATGAAGGTATGTAGCCCTAGAGTGGGAGGATGGTTCAAATTCGAGGTCAGTGTGGTGGGAGGGTCTGGAAAGGCTGCAAAGTGTGAGCAGACCGTCCCTACATTGCGAAATAAAGTGAAATCTTGTCAACACCAAAATAAGTTTACATGAGGGACAAGCAATAAGGCAAGCGCTCATCAATCTGGGCAGGGCTCTGCTTTGGTCCTCTAGACTGAGGTTTTGACAAGCTGCTTGCTAAGTGCATAACAGCTAGGTTGGTTGGCGTGTAACCATGGAACATACATTGTGTGAGCGGATACGTGCTAGGAGTTAAGGATTAGATCACGTTATTCTGCTCGTTATGTGGATAACACTTAGGTCGTGAGGGCAAGTACCCCTGGGGCATAGGCTGGGTAAACAAATAGCTGGTGGGAACCCGTACTTAGATGGCATCACAATCCACCTTGTGAAATGAGTGGTAAGTTTACTTCGTACAACATCAACTTAATTCTTCAACATGTTTGTTATTATCTGGCTAAGAACCTGGGGTGAAAAGGTTGCGCTTTCGTGCTAAACGAGCTGCAATCGGCGCAGGCACAGACAAGCCGTAATGAACGATAACAAAAACGTGGTCAGCGTCTGACCATGGCACATGCTGCTTCGAAGCTTTCCTTGTTGCTGGATGCCGTAGGGTGGCGCAATTTGCTCTTCATCAGTGTCAGAACTGGCCAGCGATTTAAGTCAGATGTGAGGCTCGATTTTCATTGGTGAGAATACCTCACGGAAACTACTGATGGTCTGCTGCGGAAGACGCTGGAAAGAAGCGTCAACCTTGATGGCAAGTTCTTCCAGTGGCTTTTCTATAACCATGGATGGCATTGCCGACAATGGCTCTGGGAGACGTGCAGGCTACAGCTCCTCTATCGTGTTTCGCTCAAATATGGATATGCTGAACTGTGCGGAGCAACTGCGAGAGATTGCGACCTTCCAGCTTGAGGAAACTATGCTGTTCCAAAAGTACAAGCGCGCTAGCCTGGACCCACTTTAAAATTGCATGCTACATCGTCTCATACTTCACCTTAATTGACGGGCAAAGTATGAAGTCCTGAGCCAGCGTCATAACCGGCGAAGAAAGGCGTGGGACGAGCTGAATTTACTTCGAATGGTCCGCCTGGATGTCCTTATTTTCCAGTTCTGTCTCAAATATCGCCAACCAGACCTCTGGGCTGTTCCATGAAAGTTGGAACAGCCAAGTTAAACAACGCTACGCTGTGAAAACCTCAGCCGCCACTTTCAACTTGTGCTGCTAGAAGATCCAGGATGAAAAAAACATGATGGAACTAGTAAAATTAGGCACTAAAAAAATAAACGTATAAAATCGAGAAAAAGAAAGAAATTACCAAAAGAGTAAGAACAAAGAACAAAGGTTAACTTTGCGCCTGCGAATCGGTATACCAATTTTTAGGATCAGTAAATACTAGTCCGAGATGATGTGCTTAATGAAGTGCAGATAACCGTAGGCAAGTGAAGGCGGACACAACAGAATACGTTTGATGGGCTAATAAGGACTTGAACGGATGAAGCAAGAGAACTGCAAATCTTAGCGTGACAAGTTCTAGAGCAGGCGACTGTAGCGCCGGACGTTAGGCAGAACAAAACAAGAAAGAATATCGTACAATTGTTCAGCAGTGAAATTGTACGTAAAAGATGGGTACCATCTTTTGGGGCTGCTGCTCGTTTTTGAAAGGGGCTTGTTAGTGCTGGATTTCTGCCAAACACTGTTAAGTAGTATTGTTGTCCCACATGCGTTAGTTACTTAAATGCTATGGGAACTGCATAAAGTGTTGCGGCAAGCCGGTGTGCATAAAGACAAGGCAGCGGCGCGCTGGCAAATTTAGTGGCGTCAACAGAGTAGAGATATGGTTGAATTTGCCAAATTTGTGCGACGTGTGACAATACAAACATCCACGCATTGCGACGGAAACGCCCCTGCAGCGCTTGACGAAAACATTTCTGAATGAGGTAGTGGGAGTAAACCTCAGTTGACATAAGACTGAGAAACCGCGTAGGTAGCGATAGATTATAGTCGTGGCGGACTACTCCACTAAATAGTATGGTGCCGTCCTTATTAGCGGACTGACAAGTATCGCGGATACGGCGATGACGAATCATTGAGTTTGCCAATGGAACTTCCAAGACAACCGCGTTCGGACTGAGGATCGCTTTGAAAAGTCGTTGTCACAGGAAAGTAGTTAGATGCTCTGCATACTCATGATCCGAACAACGGCGTACCATCCCTCGAACAACCGACTGGTTGAACGTACTAATTGTTTGCTAAAGTGGCGGCTCAAGGATTTCGTGGATCAAAATGTTCATGAGTGGGACACTTTATCGCCCAAATGTTTGCAAGCTTTTCGAAGTACGGTTCGCACCTCTATCGGACAAGAACGCTTTTTAGGTGAACTGGAAGAGAAATTCTGTTGCTTACAGACGCCAAACTGCCTGTGTCGCAGCAGGTGTCCGCAACAGCCTATGTCACTAAGCCGCTCTATTCCAATCGAAAACGCAACCAGCTACGAGTGTTCGGTTGGCGAATGCCCAATGGCATCAACTGGATTAGAAACACAGGAAGGTTGTCTTTATACCAGTGAAGACAAGGCGATCTAGTATAATTGAGCCAGATACCAACTGCAGTGATACCAGCACAGTGGCAGCGTGAGTAGCCCGGCCCTTCCATTATGCAGCGGATGATATTTGATGGTATTTATGTGATTAACGATCTAAATAACACCGTTGGGTAACTCTGGTGGTACACTTTCACTGACCTAAGACGTGTCGGATCAATATTGATCACGCCGTCGGGGAGCCATTAAATGAACTATTGACGATGGCAGTGGTGGATACGGTAGTGCCAGGCGAACGAGGCTGCGGGGTGGCAATGGGTGCATCGCCCAATTATTAGGGTGCGGTATAAAAAAGATCGATGTACTTGCTGCTGCGTGGTCGGATTTGGGTCGTCGTCTTGAAGCCACACTTCCACTTAACTTGTAGGGCGACGTCGTTCAATTTGTAGTGTATCGGAAAACACGCTTTCAGCATTTTGCAACTTTGGATTTTACGGTTTTTTTAGCCATCTAAACATCCACTTGTTTTACGGACTGCACATGCGTGGACACAAAGCGTTTTGGTGCGTATCTTGCTGCACGGTTTTTCGCTCCGGTTGATTCGCCCCAAATTTTCTTAGTCTGCACAATATACGCTGGGTTCTATCGCCTCTAACTTCTATCGGATCCCGTATTTGACACTTCACTTACGTGTCATTGATCACTGACTATTATCCCAGGCCCCATCCGACAAACTACAGAGGAAAGATAAGAACCGGAAGATGTGTAACTAGCCAACGGTTGTAAAATATCTGTTGTTTAGGCACCTAAAACCCTTCCTGCCTCGTATACTATACCGTTCGTCAACTATGGCAATTAATGAACAAAAATATTATGGTCGAAATGACTGTGTGATCAATAACGAAGAGATCCTAATTTTGTGTAAGGAGTTTGACGACTTGAGTCAGCACGCAGATGAAACAATCAAAAGACGTGTAAAGCTTTGGTATATGTATCATAGGAATACGACGGAGGTGTGATTAAGACTAAAATAGTTTGTTTCTGTTAACGTTGAAGGTCATACTTAGGTCGTCCACCGCAAATCCGAAATTTCGGCATTCAGTTTATTGATATTCGTGGTCGCTTCCAGGTGTCCTCCCTTTGCAGAATATTGGCAATATTTTGTATAAACAGGATGGCTAAGGGAATTATGGCGTTGTTTGAATACGAAACTCCAAAAGTTGTGCAAATATCCAATTTCAAAGTAGGTCTGGCACACAGAATCATACAGTTATGCATTTTCATTTACGTTGTCTGGTAATTTGTGTTTTTTACTTATGCTCTGGAGGATAGCTGGGTGATGATTTATGAAAAGGCGTATCAAGTAAACGAGAGTGCAAAGTCAGCTGTTACGACAAAGATCAAAGGAATTGCGTTCACAAATTACTCTCACATCCCAGGAATCAACGTTCGCAGTTGGGATGTTCAAGATTTCATTACTCCACCGATCGAAAATAACGCTTTATTTGTTACCACAAACATGATTGTAACAACAAAACAAAAATTAACTAAGTGTGCAGAGGTGAGTTCTTTTTATGTTAAATTCGTTTTTGACCGTAGTCTCCCGGCGTATATGACGCGTTTTGTGACCGGGATTCTGACTGTGCTCCACTTAATATTCGACACTATGGAAACGGTAAGAAAATGTGGGAATTATTACATCACCTTTGGATACCTTCGTTTTTTCACCTAGTACAAGCACATTAAACAACGTGCTAAGTTCTATCAGCGGTTCTTGGCCTGTTCTCCACTCACTTATATGATGGCTTGGCTAGGGCGTTTCCAAGTCAGGCAACCTGCTTTATACACTTGGTATCGAAGCTACTTTTAGTGCCGTACGCATCACCTTCCAGCTGTAAACAAGTGGAATATTTTCAATCATGTATCAAAGCGATTTCCTCATTCGCTGGTTGTATTATTCGATAATAAGTAGGCAAAATACTAAAATATTAGCTAATGGGTTCCCTTGCTGTGTCAAAGTCTTAAAACTTGCAACCTAAGAGGTTTGTCTCTAGTGCTTGTCTCTATGGACACGCAGCTTCAACCTCTAAACATTTAACCACGCGTCGCTTATTGCAAACACATTTTAAAGCGCATTGTTTATTTTGTACTTATTATCGTGTATTATCGTTAATTGAAAAACCTGGAAATATTTGTGTTTACCAGCTTGTATTTGAATAATCATATCCGATAACCTTAGGTTATTTTGACCCGCTTTTATATTTTTATCCTATATCCCTTTATAACTGATTCCCGTATTCAGTCGGATCTCGTTTGTATTTCTCTCACTATTGCTAGCTACATAGCTAAAAATCCGATTTTCAATTTCATGGTACTTGCACTTTACAAATCACATTACAACTTACGAGGCAAGAAGATTACAGGTGTGGGATGCTTTGGCTGGACTAACTGCTAGGATAGTGCTTCTTGTGTTCCGTGATTAAATTCTTATTATATTGCCAAATTATGCTGCAAGTTCAACCGATGCAAAACACATCGGAAATGTTTCGTTTGCACTTAACAATAGTGCATGTTTGAGTCAAATTTATGTTCTTTACTTGGGTTACTGTACTCACATTGAGGCCTAAATGATACAGATTTTAGCATACATTTGCTTGGTATTCACTAACAACATTCATTTATATCCTTTAATACAAACCTTACGCATAATGGATTGTTGTGTTGCCATAAAATTGTTTCAAATGTTTGCTACTAAGCTTTCTAACTAAGGGAATTCGCGCTTTGTTAGTTATTTACGCACAGTCATTGCACAACGTATAGCATGGGCAATATAAATTGCTTATTTGCACATTGCTGGACGTTGTATCTGTATATGGCAGCTTGCTGTCGACTAGGGTTTCCTGTAAAATAAATACCTAAATTAGTTTTTAGTGACCGGCAACAGAAACAGCTAAGATATACCTACACTTATTGAAGCTGATTACTGCAACGATGATGCGTCAGCATTGCTCTGGTATTAAATATAAATTACGTACTAAAAATAGGTAATCGGGATGATCTATAGACTTTTATTATGATCAAGCTCACGCCTATTGCACTTCGTGGGAGCGGATGACAGAGCCAGAAGTCTCTACTTATAAGTGCTTTCAAAGTACCCAACATTATCTGCAAATCCTTTCATAGTGATCTTGCTTCAGACTCATTTGAAGCTGGTCTCCTCGATACCAGACTCAACTACAACGGAGTTCAATAGGTCTTGATAACAACACGGACGTTCCCGTGCCAAAGGCCATACATTATAGCCCTTGTTCTCACCTCGTCCGTACCTGACGTATTTGCTCTGTGGACCTTCCAACCGCTGTGGAAAAATGTTCAATGTAATGTTTCGTTGCTATGAACCAAACACTTCTCAATCTACGAACAGAATACATCGTCGCAAGTTCCGGCTTTATGACCAACCCTTATTAAGTACAATTACAAAAACCGCAGTCTGAAGTATACGACATTCCTCGAATATGGATGACGCATAAAAAATCTTAAAAATCTATGGTGTTACTGCTTAGCAAACCGTCCGTTCCAAACTGCAGAATTATGCCTTCATACAAAATGTCACCAACTATTGATAAAAAGGTAGGTATATAATGTGGCGATAACAGCAGCTCTGGGATCAGTTAAACCAAACTGATTACATTAAGTTGATCAGTTAAACACTCATTAACTTATGTTTCTTAAAAAGTGCGACAAAAATTACGGTATTGATGCGGCGTGGCCATGGAATCCCAAGTAAAATTTTGCCCACCTGTAAAAATGATAAAAAGTAGTGGCATTCCGGTCGTATTCTTCTTTACAGGGGCGTCGTAATTTAGTACGTTGATAAAAAGCAAATCTGCTGGCTTTGAATTATTATTCGGTTAACTAATGAACACTATCGCTACGCAGTAACCGTTTACCTTCACAATGCTTCGCTCCGGAGCAATTCAGCATCGACCCTGAGGTACTTAAGAAGTTTCTTCTTGGAATGGACCCGAAGTTCTTCCAAGTACTTGACGGATTTCACCCCACCTGTAAGACGATAACCGTGCACATCACCAGCCTCCTTTGCTAATTCCCTTGGTTATTCACTGAAGTAAGCCGCCTACCTCTAAACTGAAAGATAGGTAAAAACAAAAGTTTGGAAATCATCTAGCCCACGAGAACTGCCAACCAATATGCATGACATCCATCGTACGAAAGACGATGGAACAAACGGTGGAATGCACCCTACGGCTACAGCTTGATAACCTGACCGTTATCTCTTCCGCTCAACACAGCTTTCAGATAGCACGCTGTTTCAACCACATCTTCTAAGTCACCAGAAAACACGAGCTGAAGCATTAGATAGTTGAAACACGTTGCAGTGGTCTTTATAAACTATTGTAAATCTGTGGACATATTTCCGGGCTATCGGCGGCTACTAAGATATTAGGAAACTGGTACCATAAGAAATATTCTCTTCTGGATTTCCGACTTTATAAGTGATCGGCCAGTGCGCGTGCAATTGAACCAGACCTATTTCGCTCATGCGCCTCAGAATAGTGATGTTTCCCAAGGATCCTTGCTTATGTTAGAAATATTTAAACGGTAAAGCAACCCGCATTCAACTGCACTTTAAACTGACTGCCGGAACTATGCTGATTATCTTAACATATTGTCTTACAAGACCCAGCCTAAAAGATATTGACAGACTGCGCGGAGCTCTAGATAATCTGCACGACGGGCCTGTTACTTGTTAAGTGCCAGTGAACCTTGATAAGTGTGCTATTATCCCAATAAGTACTAATGTTACACAAAGGTTTTTCATAGTGGTGGGTTTTTCAAGAATTCCTCACACTAGAGATCTCGGGATGTTTGAGTCTTCTGACCTTTAAACATTCCAGGCAGGTCAAACATGGTGGCCAAGAAAAGAGTCTGGTAGGTGCATTGGAAAGATTTTTCGGATGAATGATTCCTGGAATCTTTTGACCTTATTGTACTGTATGCGTCCACTTGCTCCTAGTTTATTACCTACCGGTTATATATTCTTTCTTAAAGTTTGAATGCGCTCTGCTGGAAAAGATTCAGATAAGTGACTCAAAACCTTTGCTGAAGCTGTATGATCTTCCAAACCTCAGTTGACTTCAGCGATTGAATGTGTTTTCCATAAAGTTCCGCCCTCGTCGGGCTTAGCTTATCTACACTAGACGAATTCCCCGAGGCAAACTCAAAAGTGACCCATAGCGGTTGTTTCAACCCAACGCCGACTGTTATGCACATGGTCGCAAGGGTAAGCAACTCAAACCAAGGAGACACCAACTTAATACAGATGTCACTATTCAGACGGTTTTTGACAGAAACGACATACAGAAAATATGTGCAGCTGGAATATCGAAGAAAATTTGCAACCAGCTTTAGACAACTGCTCAATGGATGTTTGAATCGCGCAGTCCTCAGTTCAACTTCGACGAACTCTTAACGAATCTGGTCATGCAACAAAAGGCATTAAATCTACAAGGCTTTAGATTTAAAGGAGCTGACAAGGGTCCTCCATTCTGCTCTCTACAATAAAATGACTTTTAATAAAACAGTGGCCTGATAAATATATTTATATTGCCGATGTATGACTGACGTTAATATTTTTAGCGGAATAGATCTATGGTATTATCTTTACTTTACAATTATTTTGCAGTTTATGTCTCATCTGACGTAAAACATATAATTTTACATTGTTTATTTTGGTTATTGTGTTGTAGATGGCAGAAGGGAAGGCTCTTGTTAGTCCCTTCGCCTCTAGACCAGCACGAGATGCAAGTGTGCCTTAGCAACCCAACGGTCCACAAGTGATCAAAGGAGTCGCAGAGAAACAGTACTGTCCACACATCTTGCGCACATGGGAGTCTGAAAGCCGCTTAACATTTTCTTTAGCCTGTGTGCGGACTACGGTTTCTGGGAGGCTATTCCAGTCATTTACCACCCGAGTAGAAAGAGTGACGGCGACGCGGACTAAGAGCATCCTCGGTTAACATACTTTCTACGTGTGACCTTGTGATGGGCATTCTACGTTGAGTTGTAATAACTGCCGCAGTTTTATTTTCAAGTTTCCCTTTTAGTATGCACTTGGTGAAGTTAAGGTCTCCACGGCGGTGACGGTAGTCTGGTGAGAAGAGGTTCATCTCTTGGGGTCGAAGTTGGTAGGGGAAATCCCAAAGTCCGAAGACGAACTTTGCGCCTCGTTTCTGGATTCTTTCTAGTAGGGTACATCCGAGCTTTGAAAGCGGAATCGTAGCTGGTAGACTGTATTCAAGAACAGGTCGTATGTGAGAGCTGAATAGTAGACCGAAGATCTTTGGTCTCATTTGATTGAATGATTTTCTTATGGCACCCCACATCCTGTTAGCAGCGGCCACTCTCTTTAGTGTGTTCTGAGTGGTTTTTAGGCCCGATGCAATTAATACACCTAGGTCTTCGTCCCAAGCCTTATAAAAAACAAATATCTCATTATTAATTGCGTGTTGGGAGCACAGCCTATATACATTTTACTTGATACTAATTAATTAATTACTAAATTCAAGAGACTGTTTATTGTACAGATATTAGTTATCCTGAACAACAAAATACAAGCATTATTCATCACTGCTTTTGCACTGACAGCCAACTGAT